TCGGAATAGTTTGAAATAAAAACATCAAGCGTGGTAAAATATTCATTTTAACCACTGAAATTCATCCCAACAATGACAAATTCAAAGTATCCCATTTCTTTACATCTTGTTGCACCTTTTCCCATAGTTTTTCATAGTTGTTCTTAAACAAATCTATATTTTTCGTTGTCAAATCAACTCCTAAATATTTAACTTTTTTGACCACTTCACATTGTACCTTTTCTTGCAGTTCTTTTTGCCTTTGCTTTGTCATATTTTTACACAACATTTTTGTCTTTTTCTTATTAACGTAAAAACCGGCCAAGTCTCCAAAGTCCCCAAGTGGTGGTATCCTGAGTAAAACGGTTGTAATCGCTTTACCCCCCGTCTGATCGCTCTCCAACGTTGTACAGCCACTTTTCGCCCACCATTTTTTTTTTAGGTTGGCGATATGCGCTTGGGCGAAGCTTCGGCCCAGCGTTTGTTTAAAAAAGAAAAGAAAAGGTCCTTAGTTTAACGTTTCAGAGGCGTCCGGGACCTCAGGGAGGCCACTTTGCTCTTTAAACTTTAAAGGTAAGTCCTTTAAAGAAGATCGCCATTCTGTGGATGGCTGCCTATGCGCATGCGCAGATTGTGTTAAAAAAACCCAAACAAACTGGCAATGCCCGCTGTGTGTGAACGGGCATACAGCGATGGGCTCCGCAGACAGGAGGCAAGTGTGATCGTGTTTCAGCCGGCATAAACTGCACCGGTTCCAACCGGTACAGTTTATGCCGGCTGAAACACCCCGTCTGAACACACCCAGAGAGTGTTTAAAATGTGGAGTTGGCTGCCAGAGGACGTAGTCATGGCCACAGGAATAAACAGCTTTCAAAGAGGACTAGATAGACTCATGGACGGTAAGTCTAGCTACCAGCTATGGTGACTGAGGGGAACCTCCACATTCATAGTGCCCAGTGCCAGGAGGCAACATCAGGGGAAGGCCTCCCTGCCCTCTTGTTGCCCCTCCAGAGGGCTGGTTTGGCTACTGTGGGAGACCAGATGCTGGACTAGATGGACCACTGGACCGATCCAGCAAGACTCTTCAGATGTTCTTCCTACAGGGGTCCTGTCGCTGAGGCCACGATCCTCACAGTGATGTTTTTCCAGGTGCCCTTCGTCCCTCGTGGCCTTCTGGGTGTGAGCAGGCTGGTATGGGGGTGGGTGGGCACGAGGAGTTACCTTGTGCTGTGTGGTGTTTCCACCAACATCAGTGGCTTTGTTAGCCTCTCTGAGCCTCAGCAACTGGTTTGTTTGTTTTTTAAATCCCCTCTCCTCTGCTGGGGGGCCTCGGATACCCCCTAGCAGCCCTGGCCCCACACTGGCACTGGGTCAGGGTCTTAAGATGGGGCTGTGGTTGATTCCCACTCAGGTAGGAGTTACCCCCCCACACAAACACACCCATGCAACGACCTTTTCCACTTGTAGACAGAATCAAGGCTCTTTGCCTCCCCCCACAGAACTAAAACCACAAGCCACAGAACTCCAGTCCCATACATTTTTCCTTGCACTTAAAGCCACAGAGGATCCCTCCCTCCCACCCACCCCCAGTGACACAGCGGAGCAAAACAGATGCCTTTATACGGTTGCCAGCCTCCAGGTGGGGCCTGGAGATCTCCCAGGATTATAACTGATCGTCAAAGTATACAGAGAGGCTTTGGGGGGGGGGGGGTTTTCCTGTGGTCTCTCCCCTCCCCGCCCCCCGGATCCACACACACACACCACCAATGGTGCAGGAATTTCCCATCGCGGACTGGACGGCCCCCGCCGACTTGACAGCGGCAGCGTCTTTCTTTTTGCAGAATTAAAACGACCAGCAACTGAACGCCCGTTCCAGACACTGAACTTTCTTAGACTTAAAGACAATGATGCTCCCCCCCACCCCCCAATACACGTTTTATATAGTGGAGAAAAAACCGATGCTGAAACATCCGCCTTCCTCTCTTCTTCCAAGACCGAAGACTTCATCTTCCCCCCTTCCCCCCCGCATTGACTTACTTGCGAGTAAACCTCCCCCGGATCCGGCTGCGAAGAGGCTTTTCCCTGCTGCCAGCAAACAGCTCCGTCCCTTTAACCCTCGCAGTGCTGGACACACATTAAAACGCCCCCCGCCCTCTTTCCCGCTCCCGGACCCAGGCGGGCGGACCGGTCTCCAGCCAGGCTGCCTCCAGCGACGCCCTCTGCGGCTCAGTGGGGCTCCTCGGGAGTAATCCTGCCCTGGGCTGCCCTCCCGGAGTCCTCCCCCCCACCCCTGCCTTGTTCCTTGGATCTCTCCTCTCCTGAATCAGGGGAGGGTCCTGAGTCCCGACTCGCTCTGCAGGGACGTACTAAAACTAAGGACAGCGATTGCCCATCGGGAATAATAGAGAGTAGGCTTGCCCAGAGGGGGATGGTGCAGTGCATAATTCCCAATAGAGAATCCATAATTGCCAACAGAGAATCCTTGATTGTCCATAGGCAATATTGCTGGGTGGC